GGCCAGGAGCGGCCACTGCACTCCAGTCTGGGCGACCGAGTGAAACTCCAACTCAAAAAACAAACAACAACAAAACAAATTGTGTAGAGCTAGGGTCTTGCTATGTTTCCTAGGCTTGCCTTGAACTCTTGGCCTCAAGTGATCCTCCCACCTCAGCCTTCCAAATTGCTGGGATTACAGGAATGAGCGATTGCACATAGCCCTGTCTTGCAATGTTAATAGTATTCATACACATAATCATCAGACAAATCATCAAAAGGCAAACAGGAAAGCCACAGTTCTGCCTCTTCCCCCCTACATTCACACCTTTATCTCCAGTACTCCGGACACCCTCTCCTCCCTACCTCTGTGACTTGTAAAAAGGGGGAAACGGGCCGGGCTCGGTGGCTCAGCCTGTAATCCCACGCCTTTGGGAGGCTGAGGTGAGTGAATTGCCTGAGCCCGCGGGTTCGAGACCCGCCTGGGCAGCGAGACCTCATCTCTACAATAAATCAAAAAATCAGCCGAGCGTGGTAGCACATGCCTGTAATTCCAGCTACTTGGAAGGCTGAGGTGGAAGGATCGCCGAAGCCCAGCAGGTCGAGGCTGCAGTGGCCGGGAGCGGCCATTGCACTCCAGTTTGGGTGACAGAGTGAGACTCCAACTCAAAAAAAAAAAAAAGGGGGGAAACCTGAAACCTAAAAGGAGAATTGACCAAAATGTGTCCATAGGAGATATGTCAGCACACAGTGGATAGGCAACAACTAAGTCATGGTCCTGGCTCTTTGGACAGTTTTTCCAGCTGGGTGCAGCTTCTGGTATTTTGTGCCACAGGACCCTTGGTTAGCTTATTCACTGAGTAGAGCAAACTGAGACATTAGCATCCACAAAGGAGATACTTTGTTAATGCCATTAATAAAGTGTTAGTAACAGACAGTTCATTCTCTGCTGATGTGCCCAGCACTGCCCAGGACCCTGGGAATAGAAGGAGGATGGGATCTGGTCCTTTCTCTTGAGGTGTCTACTGCAGAGACATTTGTTCATGTAGTCATTCACTCAACCAGTCTTGGAGTGCCTGAGATAGGATGAGCTCTAAGCATAGGATGTAAACAGGGCAGATGTGGACCTGTCCTCCTAAAGCTTAGAGTCTAACATGTTTAACAAGGTCAGTGCAACAGGCAGAAGAAGTGCTGGATGCTTCACAGAGAGATTAGAGAATTTTTCATTGAGACTTGAAAAGAACTGTCATAAGTAGATGGATGTTCAATTGGAAGACTTTTATTTTTAAGGACTAAGGAGACTAAATTAAAGCTCTATACTTTATAGAAGAAGTTGATATGTTACTGTGTGTTTTAAGTTGTACACTCTTGGTACTTGTCTCACTGGATTTGAGGCTTTTAGTTAAATAGTCAACACAGTCAACACAGTCACCAGAGAGAAGATTTCAGCAGATCCCACTAATTCAGATAGGCATGTATTTGGTGTAAGAGAAACTTCCATCTTCTTGTGTGCCAGGATCAAGCTTTTGTTTTCCAGTGTGATGCTTTAACCTGTAATAAGAAGCATATTCTACTAGAGGCTGATGTCCCAGCATCAACTTGAAAACCCTGCTCTTAACCAAAAATCCCGTTGTTTAGATCTGCTTCATTCATCATTCATTCATTCAGTAAATGAATTGAGCCTCTTCCTTGTGCCAGGTGCTAGGGATTCAAAGATAAATATGCCCTGGCCCCAGGCCCTGGGAGCCCAGTAGATAAGATTTATGTATAAACATGCAATTACAATTCAATGGGTCTATGCTCCCCAACATTTAAACACTGAGAGAGCCTAAGAGAGTTGGGAAAGCCTCATGGAGAAAATGGCATCTGATCTAGCTTTTGAAAGGAATTGGCAAGGCAGAGAAGTGAGGGGAAGACATTCCAGAAGTAGGAAATAGTCTATGAAAAAGCACAGGGGCCTTTCTGCATGTGAAAAGTAACTTCTGACTGGGAAACATTAAGTTTAGAATGTAGGATAGATGAGGCAAGAAGAAGAAAATAGGCTGGAGAACCATTGGCCGATAACACTGCTAAGATAGATTGGGGCCAGAAAGCCATATCTGCCTGAAGAAGGCAATCTCTTCTATTATGCTACATGAATGAGTGGTTTTTGCCTTCTAAAATAGAAATTCAAATTCATAGATACATAGATGAGCAGCAGTGCACTACAGCTATGAAATCTACTGCTACTTCTATGACCATACGTAGCACCCATACCCATGCCAAGTTATATCCTGTGTCTTTCATCAAAATGCTTTGCCAGCAAGATGACCTGGATAGGTGGAGAACCAATATAGATAAGCGAATGCTGGATAAAATGGCCAAATGTGGTAAGTTGCCCCCAAACAATGTAAGGATTGGCAGCCAACACTATATACTGAAAATATGTAACACATAACTCTACTCTTATATTCAGGCAGTCCCTCATCTGACCCATGGAAGAAGGCAGTCCCCAAACCCAGGCACTATTTCTCTGAGAATGCCCTGACCCAGCATGCCTTGTCACCAGTCCCAGGGCCAGAGGGTTAAGAACAGGGGTCACAGGCCCCAGGTCATGGGGAGATGTTCAGTTCCTCCTGCCTTCACTCTCCTCAGATCATCTGGGCCCTCCTCCACATGGCAAGGTGGCAAGTATGCATCAGTGGAACAGAGGATGGAGACAAACTGCTCCTGGATATAATTTTTCATTGAATTGACTCCTGAGAGAATAACAGCCCTTTGGTTGTGAGAGGCAAAGCCCCAGAGCGTTAGATGTCAAAGTGAGTGTTGTGATGTGTGGAGGCAAGAAGACCCTCAGGGGGACACAGATTGGTGACAGTCTACTCAACCGCCACCTGGCACCTCTCTCCCTCATAGACAGTTTGAACAGGTGGCAGCTTCTGGAGCGTTAGCCCAAGAGGTGACATCACTCCTGGCTCTGTATCCTTCCTGTTACAAGTGCTGAAGAGCTGACCTTCACCAATGACTCAGTGTCAGCAAGCCAGAGATGTCAATAAAACCCATTATACGTGATAGCACCCTTTAACGCAGGCATGCAGTTCAGAGAATTAATTCCTCCCACCACCCTCCCAGGCAGCCTTAGTGAAATTAAAGTGGGAATTGACATTCTCATGAATTTCCCATTTCCTGCCTGTGTTTATCAGGAATCTAGGTCATGGCAGTTCCAATCATTTACATCTTGAGTGGTATATGCCATAGAAGGGCAAAGCCCAAAATTTGCACGCTCCTTCCCTTTTCTTCCTTCTCTGTGTCCCACTGCAGAAGAGAAAGTGTCACAGCAATAACCATTCTGACTTCTCGAGTGACTTCTCAGCGCCTAGCCAAGAGCACACATCTGGGCTGTGTGGTGTTCACACTGGCTATCATCAGCAAGGTGTCAGTCAGCCATGTGATTTATCTGAGCAAAGTGGCCACCATGTCCATGATCAGCCCAGAATGGCCTTGGTGAATTTCAACTATATCTATTTACCGCTGAGGGTTCCCTCATGCCACTGTGGTATCCTGACTGGTTGTTCAAAACCAAAGCCCGTCTTCTTTTTTCTCCCTAGTTTCTCAAGTATGAGTCATAGAGTTTTCCTAATGAATGACTCTAAGATTAGGAAGGAAATCATCATTTTTAATCAGTATTTCTAATCTGGGAACAATTTTTATGAATTTATATGATTAGAGCATAACATTTCAATATTAGAGTTGGGAAAAAAAAATGTTTTAAGAAGAAATAATGACCTGTGCTCCCAGCAACTTAAGTTAATTATTTTCATTTCACATATTTCCTTCCTTTCCACAGGTAGACATGATCATGGTTGTGATCAGTGTGTACATAGTGTTCATTTCTCCTGCTTTTCTTCACTTAACCTCAAATCTTCATTATTCTACTGAATTACTGGCCAAGTATATTTCTCTCAGTGTCTAATTTGTGATTTCTTCAATACCCAGAGATATTTAATTTCTCATAATGTTAATACAGATAATAATATTTAACTTTTGTTGGTTTTGAATTTTTTTTTTTTTTTTAGGAATAACCCCAGGAGTAGGATTCCTAATTTTTTATATGTATTGCCTTATTGTTTTGTTTGTTTGTTTGTTTTCAAAAAAGGATGATATCAATTTACAGTACTACAAGTAAGGACATGACCATTTTAATTGTAAATTAAAAGACCCAAGAAAGGTGGCAAGAGTTATGGTTATGAAAACAAATGCCATACTTAATGGCCAGTGTGTGTGTGTGTGTGTGTGTGTGTGTGTGTGTGTGTGTGTGTTTTGGTGATACATTATTGTCTTTGTCTTTACTGAGCAGGCCTGAGTGTAGGTCTTGGAAGAAAAAGAATAAGAAATGAGGAGAGTATGTCTGCAGAACAGCTCCCATTCCATGACTCAGCATTCTTTCCTTTGCTTGTTTCTATTTCTGTCAAGGTGAAGCTGTTTGAGTAAGAGATACTGGTAGGTCTAGCCCGAAAACAAGAACTGCCCCCTCTTAATGAGGGACAGCTGGAGGTGAGCCAGACACAGACAAACTCCACAAGAGCCAGAAATAGCTTGACAATGGACTGTGTTGGCAGAGGCATACAACTAACACAGGTCTGCGGAGCTCACTGTGAGAGAATTCTTTAATCCGTCTGAAATTCTGAATTCTAGAGGCATTGACCTCGTCTTTTTGCCTTCCATCTTCTTTCTGGGGCATTCTTGCCATGAGTCACCGGCCAATAACAAATCCTCTGACAGATGTTAGGGTAGAGAATGATGTGGAAAGATCTGGCTCCCTAGGAAATAACGCATCGTGGGCAATTACTGAGCACTGCAGCTCCCAGATCATAGCAGGGGAGAAGGACGGTCACCACTGGTGCCTAATAATGGCACAGAGAAGGAAGGTATGCTAGAACATATGTGTTAGAACAGTGCAGACTGCTGGTATTTATTCACTTGACCCTTCCCCTCCAGATTAGGAGCCATTAGGGTGTTGAGATGAGTTGATGTCTCTCATCTTTTGCTGACTGCTTAAATCAGGAGAATGATCACCCTGCTCAGTACTGATACAGCACATACGGTTTGATAAGTATGTTTTCATGTACATATTAGACATGACACTGAGTGCTTTGGCCAAGGTCATTCACCTGTAATTAAATGAAAGTATCACTTAGTCCCTGAATCTTTGGGCCTAGCTTATAGTCTGCACTCAATAGGTGTTCACCAATGAGTGGCCCCATGTTTCTTCTCCTTTATACCCTATATCCTCTGCTGGATAAAATCAAGGCTCTGTGTGGCCTTTGCTCCATAGCAGCTCAAAGATCAAAGGATAGACATAAAGACAATGGGTTCGCCCAAAATTCTCCTTGCCTCCAATGTACCTTCATACTTTTCTGTCTGTTTGGGAATGATAGAAAGAGCAACCCTTCATACTGCTGACTGGGAGAGAGTTTACTGTTTGTAAAATAGAAAACAACAGCACAGCTTTGGGGGGCAGCCTTGAGTGCTCATTCGACCTCTCTGAGCCTGCCCCATAAAAGGGGATGATAACACTTGCTACAAGGGCTGCATGAGAATTAAATGAGATGGTTCATGCACACCTCCTATGAATGGAGAGTCAGAATCATGCTGTAGACCTTGAAAGGCATGCTCCTTTCTCCCGTCAGCCTCGTTGCTGCTCCTGGAGGCCCTACTCCATGTTCAGACTACAAATATTAGTAACTGCAAAACGAATGTGCCAGTTTTCCTTCAGGTGGTGTTTTCTCTAATCTCTTGTAGGAGGTGCTTGAACTTGCTTTCTCCATCTTGTATGACTCAAACTGCCAGCTGAACTTCATTGCTCCCGATAAACACGAGGTAAGGATCTCAGTGAGGTTCATTTATGTTACATTTCTTCTGGAACAGTATTGGAAAGAAAGAAATTTCACTTCATTTTGTTGTTGTTGTTGTTGTTGTTTTTAATAAAGGCCCACATGAGAAAATAATGAATAAAGGGAATCTTGTTGACTTGGAATAGAATAGAAACTTCTTGAAAACTGCTGGTTACAATAGGTTTAACTTCCTAGTAGCTTGATTGATAGAAATGATAAAGAAAAAAGACATACAAATGTCTCAAACTCAGCAAAGTCATCATGGTTAATCCGGAGAAAGAAGCAGCCCTGGTTACAGCTCCGGTTTTCATTGAATAATTTAGTTTTTGGTCTGGATTTTCCCAAGATAAACAAGTCTCTATTCTTTAAAACATCTGATGAAGTAGGTTTTCTACCAAGTTTCTTTAAGCTATTTTAAGAGGTTTAAGACTCTCTCTGCTGTTGGGATTTTATTTTCAAGATACTTTTATTCCTTTTTGACATCTTGTTATATGTATAATTTGTTTCTCTTCTTGAAGCACGCTGTCAGCTATATTTAAAATATTTAGCATAAATCTAGGAAAAGGCATTTGTAAGATAAAGTAGCAGTTATGGTTGATTTAACTTTCTTTTGTAAACTAAAACCCAACATCATGCTTGAAACTTTTATTTTTAGATGATACCATTCAAATTTTTGTTTTGTGTGTGACTACATAAACAGCTTTTAGAAAGGAAGGGAACATTTTAATAGAATCTGACTTTTGTTCCCTGTTTCCCCTAGGACATATAGCTCATTTAGAAGTTATTCAGTGTCTGGTTTTCACTGGTTTGAAGCTTTTGAATAAAATTGTACATCCCTAAGAGAGAGGAGAGATTAGACACAAATCCTGCATTTAGAATGGTGCTTAAATATAATTCTCTGTCACTTGACATTTAGTTTGCTGAAGGGTAAGACTTTGTCTTCATCTTTCTGAAAATAGATACTCTGTCCTACTGTTTCTGTTTTTAAATAAAATTGTGGTTCTGCATAGGCCACCATATTTAAGATGTATAGAGCTGCATAGAAAACTACTTAAAATAGTAGAACTTTAGATGTTATTTAAATCTATGCAAGGCTGTTTTCCCCAGTGTACATTAACTCCAGATCAGGATAAATGTTCTGGAACTGCCAGATTTTTATTTGTATCTGCCACTTCTTATAGATACAATGAAGAGAAAAATGCCATATGCTTGTGAACACTTTTAACTTCTTCAGACCTCTTTCATATCTATTGCCTCATTTTATTTTCATAATCACTCCATAAAAAAGAAAATTCTGTTACACATATTTTCATTTTTCAAATGAAAAGAGAGAGTCCCTCTTCCCCCCCGAACAGAATACTTCAGCAATGAAAAAGATAATAGTACAGTTGATTTTTGGACAACTCGGGGTTAGGGATACCAAACCCCTGTGCAGTTGAAAATCTGCATATAACTTTTGACTCCCCAAAAACTTAACTACTAATAGCCTACTGTTAACTGGAAGCCTTGCCAATAACATAAACAACCAATTACCATAATCTGTTTTATATTATTATATACTGTATTCTTATAATAGAGTAAGTGAGAGAAAAAAATGTTATTAAGGAAACCCTAAGGAAGAGAAAATATACTTACTATTTATTAGTGGAAGGTCATCATCATCAAGGTCTTTATCCTCATCACATTGAGTAAGCTGAGGAGGAAGTGGAGGGATTGGTCTTGCTGTCTCAGGGGTGGCAAAGGCAGAAGAGGTAGAGGAGGTGGAAGGGGAAGCTGGAGAGGCAGGCACACTCGGTGTAACTTACATTGAAAAAAAATTCACATAGAAGTGACTCATGCAGTTAAAACCTATGTTTGTTCAAGGGTCAACTACTAGCCTGGCTTACACTCTGTCAGGTGCCATTAAATGCTTACATAATTCTAAAAGAAACAAATTTATATTATTACTTTTATAAAAGAGGGAAATGTGGTACAGAGAGGCAGAGAAACGTGTCCAGGGTCACACAAGTAGTACGTAATGGAGCTGGGATTTAAATCCTGGCCGTCTAGTTCCAGAAGCTCCACCCTCAGCCCCTGTCCCCAGTCTTTGGAGCTAGTAAGGGAAAGAGCAGGCACTGAGATTACACTTCTGGCAAGCCCACTTCTCAGCTTCTGCAATCATCAACTCACGCCAATCTGGTATACCTATGCCCTGCCCACTCTTTCCCCCACACCCAGCTGCCAGGCCCAAAGATTTTGAAGCAAATCTGGTCATTGTATCACTTTATTTGTAAATATTCCTGTAGGCATCTCACAATAATGAAGAGTCTACTTTGCAACATAACTGTAATGCCACTATTATACCTAAGTAAATTAATGTGGTGGTTTTAATACTACCATGTGCAGTCAATTTTCAGGTTTCTCTAACTGTTTCATTCGTGTCATTTTTCTTTTATAGTTTGTTCAAGTCAGAATGCAAATAAGATCCACACATTGCAGTTGGTTGACCTTTTTTTAGGTTTCTCTGAAGCTGTAGGTTCCTCTGTTCTATCTTTCTCTGTCTCAGGCAATCATGAGCATGTGCTTTCTTTCCTTGCAATTTACTTATTGAAAAAACTAGGTACAGGCAATCTTATAACATTGCCTGTAGTCTAGATTGTGTTGATTTTAATTCTGTGTATTAGTTTATTGTTGCTACTGTAGCAGCCTACCACAAACTTACTTTTAAACTACACAGGTTTATCATACAATTCTGGATGTCAGAGGTCTGATATAGGTCTTATACTGGGCTCAAATCAAGGAGTCAGCAGGACTGCATTCCTTTCCAGAGGCTCTAGAGCAGATATTGTTTCCTGGCCTTTTCCACTTTCAAGGCTACCCGCCTTCCTTGGCCTCCATACATAGCAATGGCACATTGAATTCTTTCATCACATCCCTCTAGTCCCCTCTTCTGTAGTCAAACGCCTTCTGCTTCTTACTTCACTGCCTCTGACGCCTCTTCTGGATCCCACTCTCACTTTTTAGGACTCTTATGATTCCATTAGGCCCACCCGGATAATCCAAGATAATCTCAAAAAGAAAAGAAAAATCCAAGATAATCTCTCTATTTTAAGATGAGCTGCTAGAAACCTTAATTTCATTCTTTTCCACGGAACCTGATATTTACAGGAGCTAGGGAGTGGAGTGTGGACATCTTTGGAAGGTAATATTCTACCCACCACCACCTGCAATATCATTTCCTATATTCATCTTTCCCCTGTATTTTCCAGAAATTGGAAGTTAGAGAGTTAATCACATTCCGGATCATTTTGTAAGCAGCAACAGTAGTGTTGTATACCTTTGTGGTGTCTTCTTGCCTTTCTTTCTTGAATGTTAGCAGCCACCAATGCTTGTTGCCTAGATCATTGGATGCATCAAAGGTTGCAAAAGGTTGATATCCCAATTCTATCATTCTTTCTTCACTTATTAATGAAGAGAAATTTGTTTTGTTAACTATTTGGTTCCTCAAAAATTACACAACTTATATATGGTAAGCAGGATAAATACGTAATTTTCTTCACCACTTTTCACAATAATAAGCATCTTGCCAAAAAGACCAATGAGGTGTTTTTGATGTTTGAGTATTATTATGAACTTGTGGGTTTAAACTCATTTGTGTCTTAATATGTTAAAGCTATTGTCATTGTTAGCATCTTACTTATCCTATCTGGGACAAGTAGGAACACCATCAGGTTGTCTTCTGAGTCCTATCGACATGACCCTCTATGTCTTTGATCATTTTCTGGCATTCTGGTATGACAGGATACTCTAGGTTCATCTGGTAGTTTCCTGTCTTTTCTTTATTGAGCCTTGGTTTCTTTTAATAGGAAATGCTATATAGTGACCAGGTTAAGGTGTGCTTATTACTACATGGTTGGTTCTTACTTTTAGACCTTTGGGAGAAAGAGCCAGGAGTTATGATTTTTTTTAAAAAAATTTAAATGTATCATGAGTTGATACTGATCACTCCAACTCAGATTCAGTATTACAGGGTTTTTATTTATTGGTTAATGTACTTTTTAATAAACTCTCCTGTGCCTGCTCTTTCTCCAAAGGAAAAGCACCATAAAAATGTTCCTGTGGGCTAAATTAATCTGTACTAGGAAGCTAGCCAAGGCTGGGAAGGCAAAGAGCAATAATCCCCAAGACTTAGAGAATTACCATGAAGCAATGTTAGAGCTGGAAGGGGCCTTCAAGATTATAAGTTCAGTAATGCCCATACTTGGTCACGCATCAGAATTATCAGGGAAGTTTTTAATAAACAAAGCCTCCTCACCCCATACCTACAAGTCCAGGATCTCCAATGTAAGAACTAGGTATCTATTTTTATCAAGGTTATTTATGAGGAAATGGATAGTTTCTTCAGGATCTGAATAAGGTATTCCTGAAGATGCTAGTGCTTCCAAAAATCCCTTAGCACTAAACCTGTGTTTAGATGGGTTAAGTGCTTTGGCTGAGGTTATATAGCCAAGGTAGAACCAAAGCCCCACAGTTCAATGCTGCCCTCCTCAGACATGGCCTCATAATACATATCCATTGTGCTTAAAATGTGGTGCCACTGGTATGCATTGTGATAGATTTCCATCACAACATGATAACTGTAGATTTATATAGTGCTTGCAATATACTATTGGTACATTTTATGTTTAGATTTCTTATCATATTCCAGAATACAGTCCAGATAGCCACAGTGCAAAAGATAGCCTAAGCAGGGTCTTGAATTGCCAGTTAACTCCATAAGGCCAGGAGAGGAGGGAATTCAGAGTGCATTCTAGAAGGAGGGCCAGTTCAACAAGAAGAGCAGAGCAGTGCTATCAGAGACCCATGTAGGACTAGGGACCACCCAATATGTGAGTAAAGCATAGCATCCAGAACAAGACGATTTTCTGAGATGCTCGCAGCAAGGCTGGCTCTTTTACCAGGTATCATGATTCTCCTTCCAGGTCAGGGCAGGACTCTGGCCTCTGGGAGGGAAGCTGACAAGAAGAGCAAGGAAGGGCCTCAGATAAACCAGGAATAGTTCCTCTCCCTGCTTCCTCCCCGGAGTTCCTAGTGTACTGGAGAGGCAAAAGGCTGTAATTAATTTTATGAGAGGAGAATAACCAAACTCTTAGTTGGGTATGCTGAAGGACTTTTCCAAATATGTAATGTCCCAGGGAATAGGTACCAGAGACTTGGTGAAAAGAAACACTGGGCCCTGGAGAGCCAGGCAGAAGATGTCCCTGGACAGGTAGTCAGCCCATCTCCCAGTAAGATCATGCAATAATTGTAGCCATTTTAGCTGCCAGACATTGGGCAGCAGAAGGCTATTTCCTAGTCTTTTTGCTAAGAGACACAAAAGTGGGACTATCACTGGTGGGATGGGGCTATCACTGTGTGTGCTAAGAAATCAGATAAGACAGAGGTCTTCTGTAGATTAGGAACCATGATTGGAGTCAGAAAAGAAGCAAGCTTGACCGGATGTTGAATCTAAGAGTGTTGGGATACATTCCACCAATACCTAAAAATCATAGACTCACTGGTAGGATGTTAGAGATATTACACTGCACAGTCATGGAGAACTCAAACCCTCTGCTATTACATAAGGATTCATCCTTTGCAGAGAAGAGCATAAGCACTGGGGTCAGATTGCCTTGGTTCAAATCCCACCTATTCCACATACTACTGGGTTACTTCTCTGTACCTCAGTTCCTTCACCTGTCAGGCAGATATGAAACAGAAGTGTCAACTTTCTAGAGATGCTGAGACCATTAAATGTCAATGTAAGCAAAGCACTTAGCACAGAGCCCAGCACATGTTGAGTATTCACTAAGTGTCGGCTATTTTTACTACTCCTGTTAATTGTCACCAGTAATGATCACTGTCACCTCCCTTCCTACCAGTACTGTATCTGGACAGATGGACTGAATGCGCTACTAGGGAAAGACATGATGAGCGACCTGACGCGGAATGACCTGGATACACTGCTCAGCATGGAAATCAAGCTCCGCCTCCTGGACCTGGAAAACATCCAGATCCCTGATGCGCCTCCACCAATCCCCAAGGAGCCCAGCAACTATGACTTCGTCTATGACTGTAACTGAAGAGGCCAGGCCCAGACACGCCCCTTCCAAAACTGGAAAAGCTAGCTAACAGGAGAGAGGAATGAAAACACACACGCCTTGGAATCCTCCTTTGGTAAAGGGAAGCTGTGGGTCAATACTTCCTTCAGCCTCGCCTCTAGCCCCGGCATCTTTCGCACCCCCACCTGGTGTCTTGCTCACCTCCCCAACTCTGTTTCTAGGCTCCACTGCTTTCGGTCACTTCCCATTGCTGCAGTTCACTGGTGGGACAAGAGCAAAGCCCACCACCAGTTAGAGAGCCAAAGGGCCCCTCCATCCTAGCCCCAGCAAGCATGCCCTTCCTCCCTGGAGTAGGAAAGCCAGCAGCCCCAAACTGCCCCAAAACTGCCTGCCAGACCAAGGGGAGTGCCCCAAGGCCCCTGTCTGGAAACAGTGGCCTAGCTACCTGATGGAAGACCAAACACCACGCCCTTCTTTCCCTCCTCTCTAAAGCCAGCTCATGCCACCAGTTCCATTTGAATTGAGATCTGCTCTCCAATCTCCTCCTGCCTCCCTCCCTGCTTTTGCCTTGTCCTATTCCCCTTTGGTCCCAAGAGCAGCAGCAGCAGCAGCAGCCTCATCGTAGTCCTCTCTAGCATCCGTCTCCCGAATAGTCCACAGGTCCCACGCCCACTTTGCAACCGCACTGTGACCGTGACCAACCTGCCCTCCTTGCTAGTGTGAGTCTGGGGTTTCCTCTCCATACCCAGGCCAGTCCTGCCTTCTTGATGTTCACACATGCTCCCAGCCTCTTAGCTGAAAGCACAAATGGTGAAATCAGTAGTCATGCTCCATCTCTAATAGACTAAACCTGAATGCCTCTGTGATGGGCTGTTGCTATCCAAGGGTTTGGAGTTACCTTCTCCTGGAGCTCCTGCTGCAACACAGTTTCCACAGGATGGTCAAGCTGTCAGACATCCAAGTTTACATCATTGTAATTATTACTGGTATTTACAATTTGCAAGGGTTTGGGGTTAGTTTTTTGTTTTTTGGTTTTTTTGCTTTGTTTTTGTACAAAAGAGTCTAACATTTTTTGCCAAACAGATATATATTTAATGAAAAGAAGAGATACATAAATGTGTGTACTTTCCAGTTTTTTTTAATTATTTTAATCCCAAACATCTTCCTGAGAATAACATTCCCTTAAACATGCTGTGGAATAAAATGGATTGTGAGGAGTTGGGGAACTGGTGTTTTGATTTGATAACTTGGTTGCTTGCTACTCAGTCGTCAGCATCACCTGGGAGTTTGCTGGAAAGGCAGACTCAGTCCCTACCCCCGACCTGCTGAATTGTGTGAGTTGTGTGCACATTAGTTTGAGAAACATTCAGAAACATTGCTCTTAGGGACCATGGACCATTGCTAGGTCACCATAGGCTCTGATATCAGCAAAGAATGTTACTTCTGGCCAGATATGGTGGCTCATACCTATAATCCCAGCACTATGGGAAACCAAGACGGGAGGATAGCTTGAGCCCAGGAGTTCAAGACCAGCCTGGGCAACATAGTAAGAGTCCATTACAAAAAAAAAAAAAATTGCCAGGTGTGGTAGAGTGTGTCTGTAGTCCCAGCTACTCAGAAGGCTTTGGCAAAAGTATCCCTTGAGCCCAGAAATTTGAGGCTGCAGTGAGTTGTGATCATGCCACTGGACTCCAGACTGAGCAACAGAGTAAGACCCTGTTTCTAAAAAAAAGAATGTTAGTTCTAAGATCATCTTAACCCACTGAGAAAATCAGACCCACTGTGTGAAGATATAATGTATTAATTTCACATTGTTGCCTCCTAACCAAGACCTTCTCTTTTTTCTCTCTTTTTTTTTCTTCTTTACTATTATGTAATTTGTAGAACTGGTCAATTAAACACATCACAACTCTGAGGGAGCACATTTAGCAATGAAAAATGCAAACCCACAGACCCGAAATAAATTAAGCCAGAACTAAATAAATCTAACTGTGAATTAATCAATTATGGGTCAGAGCTCAGCAAAGAATTTTTCTTAGATCATTTCCACCAGGGGCATCATCGGGATCATAAACTCCAAGGGCTGAGAGGGATGTCACCACAGCTCACGCATGCAGAACTAAGTGCAGGGCAGCACAAGCTACTCTGGACATGCTGCACAAGCTGTGGATTCATCCAGGTCACTGCTCTTTACTGTCATCAGGATGTGCAATCACAGATGACCTGGGATGAGAGCTCTCCATAAACTGCAGGAAAAAAATCCTTTCTTACCCGTAGTCATTCACAGGGGGGGTCCTCCTTCCCATCAGAGCACTCACACCTGAGTGTCAAGTTGACAGTTCCTTCATCATTGACCCTCAATGTTATTGACACATATGTCCTTCCTGTCAGGAGCAGTTATTAATCTACCCATCATCATGATAAAATGATAAGTGTTAGGGAAGAGAAAGCAAAATCATGTTAATTTTTGCTTAGAAGTCACAAGGTCCAGTACATGAAGACCTGAACTAAGATCTCTGAGGTCCTGCCACTCTGGTTTAAGAAATTGATCTATTCTGTGACCTAGCTGGAAAGAACCAGCCCCTCTCTCTTCTTGCATTCCTGTGCTGGTACATTCAATAGAAATGAACTCTTTAAGGACTATTAAAAAGAACATTCTCCTGCTTCTTCCTAGATTCTCATCCCTCGGATAGGTGGACCACCTGAGAGTGTGCTATCATTGTTCTGTATTCCTTCACCTTGTGACCATGTGGAGAAGAGCTGCTGCTTGTATTTGGTCATCTCATCTTCTCTCCCTCGGCTGTCCAAGGCTTCTTTCCCATTTGGTGAGCCCACCACCTCAAGCTCAACTGCTGCTGCCCACAGTTTTCTAAACGTGGGCAACTCAGCCAAATCCAAGGCAAAAGTGAAGTAGGAAGCCTGACTTTGGTCAGTAAGCCTAAGTTGCATTCTCCAATCTGGCTTTACCTGAAATAAAACTGATCACTTAATTTGAATCTGCTGATTTTTAATTGCTATCTTATTCTTGTTCAGAGCCCATAGGAGGAAGAAGAATTAATGGACCCTCCAAACCCCTGTGACTACTTTTAAGAGTAGGGAAGGCAGGGCAACCCCTTTGGGTCCCCTTCCACTGTGGGAGATTTTCTGTCATCTCAATAAATCCTGCTTTCTCACTTTAAAAAAAAAGAGTAGGGAAGCAAATAGTAATTGCAAAAAAAGTCTGAGTGTTTCTGAAATTTATTCACAAGCCTGTTCTAAACCATCCTCCAGTTATCAACCACACCACGTCCTGCCCATCTGCTCCTATAATGAACAAAACAGTTGGTGTCCCCAGTAACATGCATACCCTTCACTCATTTTCTTTTAGTTATGAAAATATTTTTATAATTAACATAAATCTTGAAGAAGGAAATAAAGTATCCAAGCAATAATCAAACATGCTTAGAGCTAGACACTAGAAACTCAATTTGTAAAGTTAAAATTTGTAAAAATAAAGACAAAATGTATACAATTGGGGAAATGATCATCAAGTAATTCAGTCAAATATAAAACCCAAAAAGTTGCAGCACAGTGTGGTAAATGGTATTATATAAATATGTACAAGGTAGAGGAGTAGAAAGGATTTTGTTTCCAACACTTTTGAAAATGGTGTAGCAAGGGTACCTGCATAATGAACATTTGCATACCTGACCCTGAATTCTACCCCACATCTTGGAAATTAAATTTAAAAAAAAAGAAAGAAAGAAAATGGTGTAAGGCAAACAAGAGAAGTGTAAAACCTTGAGAACAGTCTTGAAAGAGAAATGTTCACTATGCAAGAGATAAACCTTCCAGGAAGAGCAAGGACTGGAAGCAGGAAAACCTGGTACTACTCAAGAAACTGTAAGTCATTCAATACAGTTAGCATAGAGGATGCATATGGGAGAGCAAGGGGAGGTACGATTGCAGAGGAAGAAAAGCACAAATCATGGAAATCCTGATAGAAGTTGGCAAGGGACTTTTACTTGAGGGCAAAAGAGTACATTAAGAGGAGTGATGTTGTCAGATTCGCCATTCAGAAAAATCACAAAGACAAAACAGCCACGTGGGGGAAAGCCTGGAGTGGGGGAGAACTGGAAGCAGAGATATGAACGAGGAGATTATTGAAAGAGTCCCAAGCAAGCACCACTGGAGCCCAGACTTTGATATCAGCAGTGAAAATGGGAAGGAGGGTAAAGTCATTAAAGAGGTAGTATGAGCAGGAAGTGGAGATCTCATTAAGCAATGGGGTGAGGGAGAGAAGAATGAAGATGATTTCTGAGCTCCTGGAATGGCTGAGTAAGCAGATAATGGGGCTGTTATCTAAAATCAGAAAGAGAGAGGAACCGGAGATTTTAGAAAAGATAATGAAATGAGATGGTATGAGATAGTAGGTACTTGGTAGACTTCTGCAAACAGAAATATAAGATGTGAGGCAAGTGGTCACTTAACCACTGTGAGCCTTACTTCACTTACAAAATGGAAGTCTCATTACTGGAAAGCATTGTAAATGAGGTGGCTGGAAACTGTCAGTGCTCAAAAAGTGTATTCCTGTCCACCTCTTCCTTTCACATCCTTTCCTCTGATATCCATGGCGGTTTGTGTGTATGATCTGTGGCATCGTTTGACTGAATGACAGAAAGTCCCTCAGTATTCATGGGGAACTGCTTCCAGGACCCCTGCAGATACCAAAATCTACAGATACTCAAGTCTCTGATACAAAATTGCATAGTATTTGTATATCACTTAAGTGCATCCTCTCATGTACGTTAAATCATCTCTAGAAACTTATAATACCCAATACAATGTAAATACTATGTAAGTCATTTGTACTGTATTGTTTTTTAATTTTTTTATTATTGTTATCTTTTATTATATATTTTTCCAAATATTTTCCTTCCATGGCCTGTTGAATCCAAGAATAAGGAAACTGCAGACATGGAAGGCTAACTGCATTTCAACCATTTCAGCTTGTTTCCTGAAAAACATAAACAAAAAAGGGAAAGGAAGAAAGGAAAATTTAAGAATTTGAATATGCTTCTTGAATTAAGGATTTGAGGTAACACAATAAAACTGTAATTTGAAATAAATTTGACAGGAAAAGTATGGATGGTATAATCCCATATAAAAATATAGTTATACCCTAACAGCATGAAGCATTAGAATGAGGAAACTTGTGGAAGGAACAGAGAGAAATATGGGGGAGAGAACAGTAGGAGATAAGCTTGGAAAAAAATAAAGAACATTGGACAGCATGTCAAGTTGGAAGTATATACTTTAGGTGACCAGGAGCCACTGATTTATCTTACCTGGGTAAGTGGCATGACCAGATTTGCATTTTAAGATCACCACTGTCATGCTGGCAGCAGCACAAAAGATGAGTTGGGAAAGGGTGGGACTGGAGGCAGAACATGTGTTAAAGGTGGTCCACTTTTAAAGCAGGTTGGCTGTTTCAATCATTCACTCAATCAATCAAATGACTGGGAACAAGTTGAGTCTGTCAGAGATTATATACAGGGTGTTGTATACAAAGGATATGATACTTGATCATTACTGCAAAAGACAGAACAAAGACAAAAGTTTAGACATTTAGCTCTTGAACAACAGGGGGGTTAGAGGCACTGACCTGAACACGTCGAAAAATCCAAGTATAACTTTTGACTCCCCAAATACTGAACTACTAATAGCCTACTGTTGGCCAGAGCCTTATTGATAACATAAATAGCCAATTAATACACATTTTATGCGTTATATGTATTATATGCTGTATTCTTACAATGAAATCCGTTGGAGAAAAGAAAGTGCTATTAAGAAAATCATAAGGAGGAGAAAGTATGTTTACTATTCATTAAGTTGAGGTGGATCATTATTAAGATCTTCATCCTTGTTGTGATCATGTTGAGCAGACTTAAGAGAAAGAGGAGGAGCAAGAGGATAGGCTAGTCTTACTGTCTCATGGATGGCAGAGGCAGAAGAAAATCCACATATAAGTGGGCCCACACAATTCAAACCCGCGTTGTTCAAGGGTCAACTGTATTTCCAAAGTCCAACATATAAATACAAAACCAAATCTTTCTCAGACTAACTAAAAAAGTAAAAACTGTTTAAATGCTGGTTACAAGATATATGCCTAAAACAAAATGCCACAAAATAATTGAAAATACAGAGATGAGCAAGATATACCAGCAAAAAGTCCCAGGGAGT